ATTTGGTGAAGAGCAGAGCCGCGTCTCCTATTGAGACGTTAACAGGCTAATAATGATTGGGATTGTCATGAGAGGACAAATTAAAACATGAGGATAAGTGTGTACTTTCCGATCTATATTTCGTATCTGTTGGAATATCAATTTATTCCTTTTCACTCAATTAAATTCCGAAATCACTTCCACTCTTAGAGCCAATGTTCGATTGAACACATAAACTATTATAGAAAGCAAATAGAAATCAAGAGACTGGAGTCTGGAAAAGCCATCTAACCCCTACAATCGGGACCCCAGGCAAGTGCAGGCATTGGTGACGTGACTAAGTCGCAATCGGAGCCTGAGCTGGCAAGGCATTTACTGCAGCGTCTCTGCAAGTGTTTCTTTACTTTTACTTACATTTTATTTGTATTTTGTGCTGAGCTGGCGACGGACTGGCAATGTACTTAAATCACGGGCAAAACGTGCAAAGCAACTAAACAACCAGCCAAAGCAACAACAGGAGCACTGCTCCATGTCCATGGAGTGGGGAGAGGGGCCCAGATGGTGGAAGCTCAGCCTGGCGTGTAATAAAAAACAACAACAATATTTATGGAATACACACAATATATTGGTTCAAAAATGGACAACAGCAACATCGGCCGCAACAAGGGCAGCAACAGTAACTACAATTATGGAAAAACATAAATGACACTGGCAATAACAACTACAAGCGCGACAACAACAACAACACCAACAATTACAATGCCAATAACCGAAACAACAATCAGCAGTAAAAAAAAACACAAAGGCTCATCTCCGAGGTGGAAACTAGTTATACTCTTTGCAGGTGGATCATTGCCATGACGAGGCTTGATAAGGACAAGGCATATTTCAGACTCCCAGCCAGATAGCTAGAGAATACAGATGAACATGAACATCCGTCTGCTACGCTGCTGATGCTGATCTACTTGATATTCCTTCCCTCTTTTGCATTTCGATCAAAATACCCTCTGCAAGGGTATAAAGACAACCAGCTACATGGCCAACAACCAGCGGCAACAACAGCATCATGGCCAACAGCAACAACAGCGACAACAATAACAATAATTGTATTTACACATAATTGACCATAATCCCCAGAAGCATCCCCCGTCCCCGTCCCCGTGCCCGTTCCCCCATCACCCTCCATCTACCCACGAATAACAGATTTTTTTGCGCTTTCCGCTATTATTGCTGCTGTTGTTGCTTCAACACCCAATTCGGTTGGTTGCCCATGAAAATGGCCGCAGGCGACATTTTATGTTGCCGTTGTTGTCGCCCCTCGTTGTTGCTGCTTTTGATGGTTGTTGTTGCCCCTGATGTCCCCACTGCTGCTGCTGCTTGTGGGGCAGAGTGGCCGCTGTTGTTGCTGGTGCTGCTCTGAGTCCTGTTCGCATTGTCTGTCTGTAGTTAAATTTAAATGCCAGCCGCCACAGCAGCCAAGGACCTGTGCGCGGGCCTGGACCATAAATTAAATAAAATAAAATGAAATGAAATAATTTCGGTCACGCACTTTCCACTGTTGACATTTGCTGGAGATATTCAAGCGAGGGAAGACTTATACCACTCCGTGAATCACATGCTCTTCGAGCAGCTAAGATCTGCCATTGATCCGGCGCTATGCGATCCCTGCAATATCCTCTTCAGAAACTTTCTCTTCAATATTCCGTCCTCCCATTGATCTGTGTAGGGGCTTCTGGTCTAGCCAACTCCATCGCTTTCCATGCAAATGAACTGCCCAAACCCGTGGGCCGTTTGCTGGCTGTTTGTTTCGAGTTTGGCTGCCACTGGGCTGGGCTGCATATTTATGGGCTGCCGAATGTCGGCAACATGCACAGCCAAATCCACTTCATGACCGAAAATTAGTTTTTAACCCACAAAATAATCCCGAATGACATAAGGATGGCCACCAAGCAGCAGCAACAGCAACAGCAAGAGCAAGAGCACAGGAAAACCCACAGAAAAAAAAAAGAGGAAAACTAACCACAACGAACATTTCACAGTTACGAGGACGAGACCTCCGCCTGTAGTCCTTGCTTGCCGGAAGTTGTAAAGCTGCCATTTCTCGGCCATGTTGTTGATGTTGCCAGTGCCACCGCCGCCGCCATCGTTGAAGACTTGGCTTTCGAGGCAGCAGCAACAACGATTCGCGGCCTCGTAATGCGGTCATTGTTATTGCAATTGTTGTTGCCGCTGGGTAGCGCATTTGTTGTATTAACTTTTTCCAAGTGGCATGCAGGGCCGGCAACATCAGCAGCAGCAACAACAACACTTCTTGCTCCGCCACCCACAACGTTGGCCATAATTTATTAAAGCCTGCACCAGAGTGCTTCAGAGTCGGGCCAGTGCCCCTGGCACACAATTGAAATTTAAGCAGAAGCAGAAGCAGCAGGAGCTGGAGTAGGACCAGAACCAGGAGCACCAGTAGAACCTGGAGCCAGAACCAGTAGTGGGAGAACCACGGATGAGAGCCACGAGAGCAAAGGGCAGCGAGCAGAAAGGAAGTTGCAGAAAATGCGAAACACTGGAGGAATACCCCACGCGGTCTCCCTCTCCTCTGGGGATCGGCTGGGGCGGCGTGGTGAACCAGGCAAAATGGTAATCGAAATGTTCGCCGCACGAATCAACGCAAACAAGCCGAGTCCGGGGCTGGAGCTGGTGCTGGTGATGGTGCTGGGGATCTGGGCCCAGTGCAACACTGGCCAGTTCCCAGTTCCCAGTTCCCAGTTCTCAGTCAATTTCTTGCGCCATTCCCTCGCTCTCTCTGTCTATGCTTTTATTGTTGGCATACTTTTTGCAGTCAAAGTTTTTGGGGGAAAAGTTTTTGGGGTTTGGGAAAATAATTCATGAAACATGGCGAACAAACGCGAAACGCGAAAAGCGAACATTTTTGTGCCTTTGCCTGCGACTGTGCCGAATCTGATTGTGACACAAACGAATTGTTCTGGTTGTCGTCGTCGTCGTCCCAGTAGCTGGTGGGCAGCAGGAGAATGGGTGTGCAACTGAAGGTGGCGCCTCGGCAGCGGTCGGTCGCATATTTATGTGCCTATTTCGCTTTTTTCGAGGCACAGAGGCAGTGGCGGAGGCGGAGGCGGAGGCGGAGAGCATTACTCTTCTTGGCATGCAAATTTATGGTGTGTCCCAAAACAATTGTTATTGTGTTTTCAACTTTTGCTTGATTTGTGTGTTTTAAGTGATTCCAAATGGGTCGCAGGGGGCCGGCTTGGACATGGACCCGCAGCCAGCTAAACGGCGGTAGGGCTAGGCCGCCTGGATTCCTGGCAATTTGTGTTTTTTTTTGGGACCAGCTGACGCTGATAATTTCTCGACTGTCATCGGGGGCAGACGCGCGCTGCATATCTCAATGCAATTCTAAGCACCCAATAACCATAAAACAACTTTAAGGTCCAACCAAACCGAACCGCACCGCACGGCACCACACCGTACTGACTCTCAATCGTCACTTGGTTGTTGTTTCGTGTCGGTGGAATTTTCTCTTCTGACTTTTGTTTATTTTTATTTCCGCAAACCATTCGAGTGCCACGAAACTTTTACGGCCCGACCGGTTGTTACTGTTACGTTACGGCCACTGTTCACTGTTCCCCGTGCTGGTTGCTGGTTACGGACCGGTCCGATCCGACCAGTAGGCCACTTCCTGCAGTTGAGGCAGAGCAACTCCAGCTGCGTCCGCATGCAATTCGTGAATTTTTGAAGGCACTTCTTTTGTTATTCCGAGCCCGGATCCAGCCCACTCCAGCTACCGACCTTGCTTGCAATATGCAAACGGTCATTTCGTTAATGAGTAGCAGGAGGCAGGAGGCAGGAGGCAGAAGGCGGCAGGCAGGAAGAGTGGAAGCAGTGGAAGACTACAACTTTTACTGGGCATCCGGCGGATGAGTAGAGTGGCAGAAAGAGCGGGGGCAGATGCGGTGCCAGAGTGAAGCATTGCCCATGGCCGGTAGGCACTGCCACGAGTCGAGTACCAGAGTATAAACTTGACTGCTTAGATAGACAGACAGCTGTAGCAGTGCCAGGTCCGAGTCCGTGCCCTGTATGTTTCTCCCTCTGCAGTTGTAGCATTGCTGTTCGTCCGGATGACTTGGTTTATTTTACGTAATGAAATGAAATTGAAATGAATGTTTTATCAACCGAATGCTCCTCCTGTCGCTCTCCCTCAGTGCTATCTCTTGCTGCAGTTGTCGAACATAAAATTATGAAAATTATGATAAAAACTAAGAGCCCAACCCCCAACAGTTTTTAGTGCCTGATTTTCAATACAAATGATTGTAAATTCCTTAAACCCCTTACATATTGGGCACGCTCAATTAACATAATTAAAGCAATCGCATAAATATTTATGAGCATTTTGCAATTTCCATTTAATGCAAACAAACACAAAAAAACACTCGCAAATACAAATGGTCCCAGAAATATTTGTGAATCTTTGCACAACGAATTTGCATGTACATAAGTGTGACACAGGTCAAAAAAGTGAACAACAGGATTAAATCCCAGCATGCCAGCAGGCTGCAGTGCATTACCCGAGGGCTGACCGGGTCCAGACCGGGGATTTAATTAAATTTCACTTAATGCTATTACCGCACTCGTGCTGCGCCTTTCCCGGGTGGAATTCTGTTTATTAAACATTCTGCGGATGCTTCTCACCGTTCTCGTATGCGCAGAATTTATGAAATTCAATTAGTATGGACACCACAGTCTCCCGGCCTGCCCGCTGCGTGAAGGAAGCAATGTTAGCTGAGTGAATGAAATATCTTTCATGGATTCTTTGGCTTGACCATGTCGAAGTCCTCAAATGGAGACCGATCTTTCCCTGCTCTGATTTGAAAATTCCTCCATTAAATCCGGATCCGTCTCCACTCCTGACAAAGTTCTCTCTTAATTTTAATATTTAAAAAACTCGCACTAAAACCAGCAAAACAAACTAGTGTTTATATAACTAATTTAATTATTACTTCTTCTTTCAGGTTCTACCATCAAGGGTGTTGTGGCCATTTTGAACTGCATTCTGGCACGTCAACTGTGCTTCGAAGATCCCTCATGTTCGGCCATTCTGGAAATTATACCCCGCGTCTGCGGGCCCATTCCAGGTAAAACGCAACTCATATCAAATCGATATACTGCCTTCCATATATTTTTGTCCACCTTCTGATGATATGTTTACAGAAAAATCCAAAAAATGTTTTGCGTGGCACGTGTTGGCAGAGCTCTTGAGCATTTTGTGCCCACCCTCAACGCTGATTATGTGCCAGCTTTTTGGTCATTTTATTTACATTTTTCTTCGTTTTTCCTCTTTGTTGTTTACTGTTTTGCTGTTTGCTTTTGTGTGTGCGTGTGTGTGTGTGTGTGGTGCGAGAGTTTGTTCCGACAACTGTGTAATTATTTCAACAATTTTTGTGTGTTCCGTGAGCAGGCGCGCGCGTGCAATAAAACAGTAAATAACGGTATATACTTAAAGCGCAACAGACGAGCAAGAAGAAGGAGAGAAGCAGTCAGCGAGACAGGTACAAAGTGAGAGGAAGCAGGCAAGAAAAAGCTTTTGAATATTCAAATGCCCTAGAGAGAGAGTGAGAGCAAACGACGTCGGTCGAGTCGATGGCCTGTTTTTATATCCCGTAGTCATCGAGTGCAAGGGTATGTTGTATACGTGGAGCAGTTTGTAACAAACTATGAATGTATTCTTAATGATAAGTTTCCCATTTATACAGCCTGCAAAGATCATTCCATCCAAATGCTTATCTGAGTAGCACGTGGTATCCGATAGTCGACCCTTCTCCATTGCATTTTTGTGAGCTCTGCGCATATGACCCAAAGGTGCAAAATAAAAACAAAGACGCGTAGCTCGCGGCTAGCGCTGTGCTCTTGCTCCTACTATTCCTCCATCAACTTCACCCCTCTGGCCATCCAATCCATTCGTTGCCAACAATGGCCAGCGACGAAAAAGGACAAACAAATGAGCTTCGTCCAAAGAAAAACTTAATTTATAAATTATTCAGTAATTTGTTTTAGACTTTGCTTTAGCCAGGTCCCACCTCCCTCCGTAGGATAAACAACAACAGCAACAGCAGCAGCTACAACAAAACAAGGAATAAATTTCTTTTGTGCTTTGCTTTGATCCGCCCCTCATTCAAAATGTGTATCTAAGCCACACTTTCCGCGAACCGAACTATTCCCATCTTATCTAGGAGTTAGAGTATGCCTACACCTCCACCTCCACCTCCTCCCCCGCCTAGCCATCGTCATGGCCCTGTAGTTTCGTGAGCATAAGTCTCCTCTTATATTTAATTATTAATGTTCATTCAGTCCAGCCAACGTCTTGTGGCATTTCTCAGCTTTTTGCTTGCCTTGCCCCAATCCCCGGCTCTGGTCCCACTACGTTGGCTTCCATTTAAGTGGCTTTCACCTTTGTGCGGTTGTGAGAAATACTTGGGGAACAAAATCGCATTTAAAACGAAGTATTAACGGCTTTAGTCTGGGCGCATGCACGTAAAAGACTCCCCAGTCCTCCTCCAGTAAATATATTTTATTTCGATATCTTTGCGGAGCGGCTTATTTCCGCAGTGACTTAACGGAGAGGAGGAAAATGTACGTAAATTAAATTAAAGTTAATGGCGATTCCGGCTTTAGGGCTGCGGCTTGGACCACTCCACACTGAGGATCAAGTGATCGTAGCCATGGCCGTTGAGAATTTCGATGGCAGCGGCGGCATCCTGGCGGAACTTGAAGTGCACATAGGCGAATCCCTTGCAAAGTCCAGTGCTCTTCTCGCGTGCCAGGTACAGCTTGCTGTAGGGTCCGATGCTCTTCACCAGCTCCTCCAGATCCGCCTCGGTCATCGACTCGGACAGGTTGGAGATGCGCACAGTCGAGCGTTCGCGGTCCCAGGGCTTGCCTCCTGTTGATCCATTGATGCCATTGATCGCACAGCCGCCCTCCTTCAGGAACGGCGACACATACTTTCCCGTCTTGGAGGTATCACTGACGGCAGCGGCTGCCGCCGCCGTGGCCTTGCTCTCCATCAAAGTCTTGCTGTCCATGGAAGTTCCCTTGTAGGGGCAGTTCACGGACCAGTGTTCGCCATTGCAGATGCGGCACTTCGCCATTTTCTTGCCCGGCTCCATCTGAGGCTCGTTGGCCTGCTCGAGCTCCTTAGAGCTAAGGAATACCATGTGCACCTCCTCAGACACCATAGTGGTCTGCGCGCATGGACCCGGCTTGTCGTCAATGGAGTCCCCGAACTTCAACCAATTGCGACGACGGGCCACGACCTTGGGCACGGTCTGCTTCTTATACTCATAGGTGCGGACCACCTTCACTTTCTTGCCTTCCTCGTTAAACTTGTACTCGGTTACATATTTAAAGTTCCCATCTGTATGCACCTTGTCAGGTGGCAGTCCATCCACGTAATCTGCATCCACCTCATCGGCCCACGAAGTCTTCATTGCTTTCATTTTTATTTCTAACAAAAAAACAAAAATTCTATGGGAATATTTAGTTAAGGTCGAAACTGCTTGAACGCTTCGGATTGTTTAAAGAAAAATTTGTTATTTTCCCTGCTATTTTCTTACCCAAAAAATTTATTTTGAATTCCTGATAGCTTTGAATTTTCCCTATGCTTGAATGGAAACCTAGTCCTGAATATTCAGAGTTTTGTTGTAACGATTGCTGTGATCAGAAATATGTATCAAAGTTTTCAAAACTGAAAAGAATTCAATCGAATATACCTTTGCCACTGGATAATCAATTTAATATTATTAATTTTTCTGCATTTATGTCTTCGGACCATTTGTGTTGAACAAAATCTCTTAGAAATTGAAAAGCAAATCCACTGCCAGTCTGCACATGATAATCATTAAACATATATGTAGTTATTTATACATTCTAAATATTTATATTTACAATTACTTGATGGAAAACTTTGTTCAGTAGTGTAATCCGGCAAATGTTTCCATCAATTGTTTGGTTATCTCTGCTGGAGCAGAGAGGCGGAAAACCTTTCACTGATAAGCTTCTGTTTGGTAGGCACTCAAGTCAGCGCTTATCAGAGGTTTAGTATGCTGCCGCTCTCTGAAATAGTCGGATGTTGTGTGTCCTGATGTCAAGATGTTGCTATTGAAGCACCCAAAGACCGGTGAAAGCCTAGAGATCAACGAGTTCTGGCTGCGGGATCACTGTCGTTGTGGGGAGTGTCTTAATTTGGAGACAAATCAGCGTCGCTATGATCTGCTGGATCTACCTGCCGATGTGCGGGCTGTGGAGAGCGAATATAAATCGGATAAATTCTCGGTGCGGTGTAAGTGAGAAGAGTCCCTCTCTCGATATCAACATCAAATTGATTTGCACTTTTTAGGGAGCGACGGCCACCAGTCCAGCTATGACTTGGACTTTATCTTCGATTCGCAGCTGGAACGGTTGATAAGCCGTAGGTCAAAGTCCACTTCGCTGACGCCCTGGAATCGCAGCATAGTCTTGCAAAATGAGCGCCATTTGCGCTTCTCCCTGCCCCAGCTGGTGGCCAGTGACGAGGTGTCCAAGTCTCTTGTAGCCGCCTTGGTTCGTTATGGAATTGTGTTCATCGATGACGTGGCCCCCACACCCACAATGACAGAGCTGGCTCTGCGTTGCGTCTTTCCCCTGATGAAGACCTTCTTCGGCGAGATGTGGACCTTCAGCGATAAGCAAGATCACGCCGACACGGCTTACACAAAGCTCTATCTGGGCTCCCACACGGACAACACTTACTTCTGCGATGCCGCAGGCCTGCAGGCCCTCCACTGCATTGAGCATTCCAGCGGCACTGGTGGGGAGAACTTCTTTGTGGATGGTCTGCATGTAGTCAACGAGCTCCGTCGTCGATTTCCGAATGCTTATGAAGTGCTGTGTCTGGTCCATGTGCCCGGAGAGTATATCGAAGAGGGAGAACACCATTCTTTTTCGGCTCCCATTATCCGTGTGGATCCGCTTAATGGTGACTTAGTTCAGCTGCGTCTCAATGTCTACGATCGTGGCGTATTTAATACACTTCCTCAGTCAAGCATGGCCGACTTCTACGACAGTCTCCGGCAGCTCCTGCAAATTGTACGCGAGGAGCAGCAGCAGTGGAACTTGAAGCTACTGCCGGGCAGCATCGTTCTCTTCGACAACTGGCGGGTGTTGCACGGACGCCAGGCCTACACGGGACGCCGCACCATGTCCGGGGCATATGTGCAGCGCACGGACTTCCTCAGCAAGGCCCGTGTCCTCGGCATCATCGAATAGAAGCAGCTCTGCCCCATCCATCCGTTCAATTTCAATTGCAAATGCAAAACGCAAACGCATCATGTCCGCAATAAAAAGTTACGATTACAATTGCTGGCCAGCGTCTGATTTTGATCAAAAAAGAGCGGGAGAGAGAGGGAGACTCGGAGGGATGCCACAAAAAAACCAAATGGGAAGCAGCAGAAATCATTTGGCATTTGTTTTTATGGCCAGGATCTCCCACCCTCTCATGTGTGTGTGTTTGTGTGGCATAAACAAAACGCAGTTTGAACTTTTTCATTTAAAAGTGAAATTACTTTTTGTTCTTGGCGTTGGCGCTTCAGGTTAATGGCTGTCGCGTTGTCCTTTATGTGTCCCCCAAATATGGATATGAGACAGGAGAGCAGGGACACAGCAATAGGATAAGCAGACTTAAAGCTGCCGAAAGCACGCGAGGACACTGTCTGAATATTTATGATAATTGCATTTCATGCCGGCTTTTTCCTTGCCTTTTTTCTGTCTGTTGGGTTTTTCCTCTCGGCGGAGGTGGCCGTTTCATATGCGACGGCACGACCGTCGAAAGCCTTTAAAGGCAGCTTCAACGCCCCAGCTGGCTGATAAATATATGCATGGTGCTGGAAGCTGCAGCAGTCGTGCCTTTGCATGGCATACTTTTCGGCATTCCACTTCCACTTCCACTGCCAAAACCCGGCACTCACTTTGAGCCATTGCGGGCACTTGTCGATGGTTCAATAATATCAGCATACGCCCAGACCCGCCGTGCACTGCACTGCACATTCTGCATGCTGCGCCTGTTTAATATGGACACAAAGGACATGTGTTCCCCGGCATCGTCAGATTTCAGGAAATGCCACCGGCTGTCGGGATGTCGGGATGCCCAGGAAGTCTGGGCACAAAAATATCTCAAACACAAAAGACCCACAAAAGGCGGTGACAGCCCAGTGGGGGCCGTTGGGCACGCCCCACTGCCCACCACTTGGCTGGCTCAGTGGCTCAGCGTAATTAATATTCACGATAATAATAATTTATATGACTTTGAATGCCCAAACTTAATAAATGACTCATAAATTTCATCTAGAGCCGGGCAATAAAGTGCCAAAACCAGTAAAAAGCAATAGAAAAGACCAAAGGAAAACAAATAACAAACTAAAATCAAATAAAGCAGCGGGGAGAAAGGAAATCAGCACACACTCATACCCCCATACACTCATTGAACACACACACACCCATTCAGTCACTCTCACACACACTCTCTCAAAGGCACACTCGCACCCACAGTCACAAGAGTCCAGCAGCAACTACAAACAAACAAACAAAGAAATCGTTGAACCAATTCAGCGACCAACTCAACAACCGGAAACGCGTTTCGAATAAAAACGAATTGAGGACTTAACAATAACAGTAAAAGGCAAGGGCAATGGCAATGGCGGCGCGGCTACTGCGACAACAACAACAAAAAAGCAGAGGAGAAAAAAAAGAGCCAGCAGCAACAAACAGCAAATGGCGTCAGTTGATGGCGACGAAGCATAAAAACCACTCGCCTTGCCTTTATTTTTTTATGACTGGCCAGCATGCAATGACGAAACCAAACGAAAGCAAAGCCAAAGGTGCCACAACTAGCCCCAGAGCCAGAAGTCAAGAGCTGGGAACTAGTTAGCCAGCCAGCCATCAAATGCACTAGGAACTTAAGTCGGGACTGGGAATTCTGCTGGCAGAGCGACCTCTGCGGCAAACGTTACGGCTATTGGAGAGCCAATGAGTTTTAATTGAGGCCACTGAGAGCCACAAAATCTCACCACACTGAAAGAAAACATTTAGCAAAAGAATAATCTGGGAGTTTGATAAAGAAATCTGTTAGTTGTAAATGGTTTGCTCAGCTTGATGTGTTAATTAATAATACATTAAGCAGTACGACTTGTAATCCGCATTAATGTTAACATTACATTTTCAAACTCCCAAAAGGTCATGGGCCAACAGGCGCACTTTCAGGCTTAACCCGTTTCCTTTCAAGAACTTAATTTAATTATAAATGCTTATTATATTCTGACCATTAATGGACATAATCAGGGATACAGAATGGTAATTTCAACAAAGTTCTCGTCACACCTAAATCTATGGAGTATTTATCCGCAGTGGAATGCAACAAAAAAGCACCAGAGACCAACCAAAAAGTGTTGGCTTCGAGCAGGGGGCATAAAAATGATGGATGCCTGTGAAAAATATCACTTGTTGCGTAGTCGATGTCAATGTTCCCGATGTGGCCACCCATGGGGGAAGCAACTTTATGTTCAACTAGCAAATAATCATGTCCGGACTGGACCATGGTCGTGGGGTCGTGGGCCAATCACAAGGGTTGAGGGTTGGGGCATGGAGTTCTCGGACTGTGTGTGTGTGTGTGTGTGTGTGTGTGTGCGTTGCGCATGGGTCCGATGAGGATGAGTGACGTGAACCACATGGCGTGGCCACTCTTCTCTTCCCATTATGCTCGGATCCCATTGTCCGGCAGTTTGCTTGTTTTGCTTTTTGGCGATTTTACGGCTTATGACGAGAGCCAAACGAGTCCGGGCCGGGGTCGTCTCCTTCTTTCTCTCTGTTCCCCTCTCTCCTCTCCACATGCACGAGGATAGTGTGTGAGAATTGGAGAGGAGCCGGAGGAGTGTGTCTGTGTTTGGTCGTGTTTGTGAAGTGTTGGCGTAGCCGAGTTTATTAGTAGGGCTTATGTTTTATGGCCAAAAGGACAATAGATGGCCAACAGATGTTTGCCTTTTGTTTGGTTGGTAGTAGTTGTCATATGCTCCAATAAGCTGTCACATGCTCGTGTGCCAGCGCATGTCCATGTGTTTGTGTGATATGAAACATAATTTATTATGTTATAAAATATTATCCGGACCACGTCCATGGCCCCATGGCCCGCTTCATTGGTCGCTTAAATCGACCGTTTTGTTTCGAGACTCAATTATTCATACTGTTGCTGGTCACTGCTTGTTGGTGTTGTTGGTGTTGCTCTTGCAGCTCTTATTATGACATGTGTCTGGATCTGGTTGGCAGTTGTCTGGCTGTGCTGCCATTTATAACAACTGTCATGGGCCACCACTTGGTAATCGATGTGCAGCTCCCCAAAACTGCCAGCCAGAAACGATTCCATTCGAAACCAAATGAACAACAAGAAAGAGCATGTCAAACTTTAAGCATGGCTGCCATTTATAGATCATTAAGCACTGTACATATAACCGCTCGAATCCCCACACTGTCACTCACTTGCCACCCACTCACACTCACTCTCAATCTTTCCGTCTCTCTCTTCTGCAGTGTCCTGCAGCACGGTGACGGTAACCAAGTGCCAGGCCGCACTGCGTACCCTCCAGGCTTTTCAATTCTTTCGACCCACTTGCCTGTGCAAGGAGCCCGGCATGGATCCCGACTGCAACCACTTTCGGGACTTTCTCTTCGATCATCCATGCGGATTTGTCCTCAAGAAAGGTAAGTTCTCCCACAGCAATCGCTTTCCCCTATTAACAATTGTCGTATCCCGAAACAGCAGAAAAGGATCCCTATCCAATTGATGCCCTGCCCACGTGCAATCACGCTCTGTCCGTATGCCAGCAAGAACGCAAATGCCTGAAGCTCTTCGAGGACTTCAAGACCCACTGCAAAGTGCGCGACAATAAATGCAAAATGGAAAACAGGTAAATCACAAGGAAGGGTATAAATTACTACAAATATTATAACTAATAATAATAATTATGATCGTTGATATTCTTTACTTAAAGACCTCTCCAACAGCCCAATTGAAATAATGAAAATTCAATTAAAGATTGTTTGGCTTAATAAGAAAATTGATTTTGCCTCTTGCCACAAAAACAGTCACGGCGTGGCCTGGCCTGGCTATAACGCTTAATGGTTAACGGCAAATGCAATTTGCATTGGCAGTGGCAGCCAGCAAAAATGGAGTCAAGGGGCTGCCACCTGCCACTGTCCAATGGGAGTCGAGTCTCTCCCTCTTTGAACATTCAATTTCGATATTCGATTTTATTGGCACAGGCACAGAGAGAGAGCACGCAGACAGAAGCAGCGTAAACAGGAGTCAAGTTGAGCGAACAGCAGGCGAAATGAAACTTCCTGCTTGCCGGCATCTTGCTGCTTCCTTTAGCCATCACATATCCTTACTGACGCGACTTCCTCCTGGCCCGGGCCTGGGCCTGGATCTCCGTCTGGTCTGGTCTGGTCTGGTCTGTTCTCCCCCGACTACGTTCGATACACTTGAATGCAAACGTTCTGAATGTTTTAATAACTCGAAATGACTTTTTGTGGCGGCTGTTGAGAGCTGGGCGTCGGGTTGGGAGTTGCGAGTTGCGAGTTTGCGAAACTCGGGCTTAAAGTTCTCTCTCCCGGCGCCGGCTAAAACTTTCGACACGCATGCCGAGCATTCTGGCTCCGAGACTTGGCTCTCTCCGGGCTCTGGGTTGACGGGGCCTGCACCGAGGGTTGCTGAGATCCACCTTGTGCGATAAAATATTAATTGCAGTGCCGTGTGTATATGCATTTTTGATGTAATTGCCAATTTTAAACTTTGCTTGCGCCAAGCGGAAGTCGCTTCGGTGCGGTGCGGGGTTCTGATGGTTTTTTGGATGGCTGGGGAACCCAAATGAATTCAATTAGCTTTGCTGGAGAGTGGGATGTGGTGTGGTGTGGTGTGGTCTGGTGGGGATTGCGGTTATCCGCGGGTAAACTAGAAGCTGGCTAAACTATTTCCAAACTTGATTCGTTACAGGGATGCCTGCCACGATTCCTGGACTAATCTCCGTCTCTCGCCCATGTTCGGGTGCATCTGTCCGAACAATCATATGAAAAAGCGCTGTGATCGTATCTTTAACATTGTTAATCACAATCCGTGTGTGGGTAAGTTTCGTCTGCCGATGCTCCACTGTTGACCGACTGCAACCACAACTACAATAACAACTACAACAAGCAACAACACAAACAGCAGAGAGAGAGAAAAATTGCCTCGAATATCGCGGACAAAAAACAAAAAATGGTTTTCTTTTCATTATCCTCTGTTCTTATGTGTGTATCTCTATCTCCCTCTTTGTCTATCCATCTATCTGTCGACCTATGGTACACAGTTCTTGAGTTCCTTTCTTATCCGAATGGTAAACCGAAAAATGATTTTCATTTCATTTGGTTTCGGTTGTTTTGTTTTGAATTTCCCTTTGGTTTTATGTACCTTTGTGAAACGCTCAAAACCCGAAACTAGCCTAAACATTTAAGTATCCTAAACAAGTACCAGAAACTAAAACTATCGCACGCTTCTGCATCAACAAAATACAAATAAAAGCCAAACTAGAGACAATCCAAAACCCCCAAAAAAAATTAACCCATGTTCTGCGATCAGTAAACCGTAATCGATATGCCTATATACCAACATATATACCCACATATATATAATATGACTATTAGCTATGCTCCAGTAATCGTTAATATCACGTATACGAATGTATATCAATATGCCCATAGTATATACATAATATCTATCAATGTAAATCCAAGCTGCCGTGTTTGAAGTCACCGCAAAACTATCTCTCTATCTCTCTCTCTCTCTCTGTATCTGTATCTGTATCTGTCACCATTCAAAGTATGTAGTAGCAGTAAGCCTTACAAAAGAACTCACTAAGCCAGCCCATAAACTATCTATTCTAGTCACATGCTAAGCAAAATGCCACCCACCGAAGCCCAAGAGAGTCTGTGCTTTAGATTGACTGCACTCGAACACTCCTAGAACCACTATCTAACCGCTCTCAAGCTCTAGCTAAAGCTCTACTAACTCTAATATCTAACCCACACTAAGCCACAAAAACACCCACAACCACAGACAGTCTCTAGCTCGAGAACCACAGGGCTACATACAGGGGAGAACCCGATGGTCTCTATCTACCTCTATCAGTCATTGTTCAATGCTTTGATTTTATCACGCCAAAACATAATTTCATTTTCAACCATTTGCCCCACTTCCAGAGCACTGCACTAATGGATTAAGAGCACCCACGAGTAGAGAGCAGTCCGTAGAGCAGATTATATTATATTTAATTATATTGTAAGAGCGCACACTAATTGCACTAATTAAATACTCGCACACTTCGAACAAACCCACACACCACACTGCTGCACACTTATTTGAATGAAGGAAGAGCAGAAGCACAGCTACAACAATTTGCACCTCTGCGGCACTAAACGATTCTCTCTTTCTCTTTTGTCTCTTTTGTGCCCTGCACCCCGCACCGCACGCATGCCCTACCCTGCCGCACCACCCTTTTGCTGTCTCTTTTGCAGATAGAATAATATTTTTCCCCAACGGTCTGCCCAAAATGAAGCAACCGAAGCCGAAAGCGAAAGCGAAACCCAAACCGAAGCCGAGACCGAGACCGAGACCCAAACCGAAGCAGAAACATCCGCACAGCCTCAATGGCACCACCGAGCTCATGTCCAACAACATTGAGTACCACGACGAGCCCAACAATGAAGCACGGGAAGATCCCGAGAATGGCAACCAGGAGGAGAACGAGACGGACGATGAGAACGTGGATGCTGATGGCACTGACGACGGCGATGAGGAAGACTCTGATGACGATGATTATGACGACCGCATACGGGCTGAAATTTATTCAAATTATCCACACTATCTGCATCCACCGTCGTGGGGGATCAACAATCCGCTGGTACTCGCCTCACACAGTCCGCACACCCTGGACGATGACGATGTTGTCGTTGAGGTGGCGACAACGAACCACCACAAGAAGCCCACCCACTCCCACATGGATGACTTGGAACGCAGCTCAGTCGATGATGTTGTGGTGGTGGTCGATGCCGGTCCGCACTTGCATTCCCATCAGCATCCGCACACCTACTACACGCATGGGGAGCAGTCATTTACTTCGACCATTGGATCGGCAGGGCCGGCGCCAACGATTCCCAGCCCACCTAAGTATGTGGGCTCATGGGCTTGGATTTGGGTTCGGCCTGGCCGAGCTGAAAACTTCCTTAACTTGTTGGGGCTTACGCTGATGGCATCTTGGATGAAGAGCTGGAGGGAACACAACTTTCACGAAACTTTCCTATGCACACGAATACATATGTGCGATTGGACTTCCCTTTCCACCCACAACCCCATGGAAAGGCTTTCATTAACTCGACTCTTAACCACCGAGGCAGCTGAAAACTTTGTGCAGAAAGCTTTTAAAATAATTGACTCACTTGGGTATGCCACAATTTCCGGTTAAAAAGCCAACTAATGAATAAGTCCAACAACTGCCAACAGACTGCAAACAAATGCATAAACAGGCGATTTGTGTGCTCTTTGCTTTCCTGATCCCTGGGCACTTGTAGACCACTTATATAATCTGATTTTAATGCATTTCATCTTAATAAATATTCAAATGAGTCATGCACTTGCACAGTACTTCCTCTAAGCTGGAACAAGCACACAACCAGGCAGCCAGCCAGCCAGACAGACAGAGAGAAGGCGGGGTCCATGGGTACCTCGGTGGTATGTACAATTAATTTGCAATGCCTGGAGCGGAAGTGTACAGAGTCTGGCTGCCGGTCCGATAGCAAACCACTGGCTCCTGTCCCCTCGTAGTGGTAATTGGCCGTTGTATCACAGTCACCCCCCTTATTCCAGGAATATATGTAATGCTTTAAGCCGATTAATGCACAACTCTAAGCTATTTTCTTGCCGAAAAAAACAACCAAATTGATGTAATTTGCAAATCTAAGTACATATGCACTTAAGCCAATAAACCAGGCACTGAAACACGCACATGACTCACACGTGCACAGCATTTCCCCCTTACTGTATCTCACTTGGCCTGTCTTGTAACTTGCACTTAATCATCTGTACAACTCTGCAATCTATTCAGCACTGGCACAAAACTGCACAAAACAGCACTTCTCGGTGATTTAGTCGCCGGCAGCGATATAACCCACCGCACCTACACGGGCCCCTCCATGGACGAGCGAGGTAAGTAAACCCTTTAACTAATTGCACTTGAATCCCACAAAAGGTTTTCTTGGATAATAATTCTCTGGGTGCGATGGGGGAATTTGGAAATTCAAGGTTAAGAGATACTTCCATTGGAAGTTTTAAGGATTTATTTACTTTTTTATTTATTATTGGGAATCAATCTTATTCTGTGGCTGGGTTTGACTATTCCAATGTTTCTATTTATATCATTATTAACCATTAAGTTGTGAACGAAATGCCAGATCAAACCATAAATTAGACGTAAATTTGCGTGTAAGTAAGTATCCCCGAGGAGGTTGGTTGGATGAATTTGATTATTGAAGCACTGCAGCAACATCCTCCATCCTCTCTCCCTTTCTCAATAACTAAGCACCTTTCCCTTGCACACAATGCACAGTCCCTACTTCTCTGTCCTTTCAGGCTTAGTAGACAAAGGAACGAAGGCATACTGTGGCTCCCGCTTCTTGGCATTAGCTACATAACTGCCAGGGCAGGGCAATCACTAGCAGTTAAATAAACGCACAGACACGGACACATGCACCAACACAGATACATGCGCACGCACATGCACACTAGTGGAAGGCCGCTTTGGTGCCATAAATAAGCAGATTGTTCTCTATCAAAATCGAAGCAGAGTAGCTGCAACACATCGATTTACTCGGCACTTCACTGTGGCTGCTCCATTATGCTCCTTTTGCATATATTATATAGAATAGTTATCTTTATGTTGTCCCCATTTTTATGTGTATGCAGACTCCAATCATCTTTCCAGCATTTGTTAATGGCCTAATCAATGCATCCCCTCTGGTACTCGATTGTTCGCTGTGCATCTCCATTTTTGTTTATTGCCACAAAATTTCACTCGCATTTGACGCCGGCCGTCCATCATCCACATCGATGGTGTTTTTGTTTGTAACGTTGTTGTTTTGTTTCGGCCCTCACTGTGGCATCTGCTCGACAAAGCTGTCAATTCCCAATCTGCTTCTGCATTGTCCATTGTTGCAGCAGCAGCTGCAGCCTCCCAGTCGGGGGACTGCGGCTGTCCGTTGTTGTAGACACTCGCATTTGCAAACTATTTATGCACGTCAAAAGCATACAAAAACAGTCTACCACACAAACCCAACCATCTATGTAGATAAATATGTGTTCACTTGCCTTATTTACGTTTATGGCGACCAGTAAATTAACAACAGCAAGCAGCGGTAATCAGTTTAGGGATATTCCGTGCCAGAAATGCCAATAGATAGCCATAAATACTCGCATCGAGGCAGTTCCTCTATTTTTATTTGCTTTATTGCAAAATTTAAATTGAATTGTTATTGTTGCTGATTGGATTTGCTTAAATTCAAAGCATAAACATTGTGAAAGGCCTGGAGGGCTTAAAATCTGTCGGAATACCATCAACAATATCCGACATATCAACAATACAATGCAACAATAACTCGGGCAAATAAATAAAACCGTGTGAGATGAGATCCTTTGGACTTGGTTGATGCCCAGCAAATCCATGATGGAAGCTAAACAAAGCACTCAAAAACGTTTCTGCGGAATTTCCAAACTATACAAAAGAAAAGTTTAGCGGTTTTTAGATCAAAGTTCCTCATTAAATAATTTTTAGCAATATATTTCCTTATTGCTCGATAGTAAAATGAGCCACGAAAAGGGTATCGTTGTATAAAAAGCAAGCCAAGCTGTCAATTTGAAAATTTAATTAAGTGCAACTAAAAAGCAAATAAAGCGATTTGTCAGCATTGCGCCAATGACAAAACAAGTCAAACATGCACTCCACGACAACCCACCTTCACCTCCAGGCCCTCCTCCAACCCAACCCACACCACATCCACATCCGCATGCACACCACACCCGCTCTCATGCCCACCGATATGGGATAGGATGTGGATGTGTTTGCGTAATAAATATTTTCATAATATTGTACAATCCACTTAGAAGTGCCAGAGCAACGCAGAGCAGAGGGCCACATTGATACCACAAATACAGACCCTCGCCATACCCAACACCTGCTGGCTACTGGCTACTGGCAGACTGGCAGACTGGCAGACTGCATGCTTGTGCATGTCTGTCATGCATGAATGCGAGCTTGTTGCAGCTGCTTGCAGGGCTGCTCCTGCTCCCAATTAGGGCATGAAAACCACGAATGGCCGTTCGGCTATTTGATATGGCAGCCGTAACCCGATTCCCAGCCAGTTGCAGCCTGCTCCCATTCCTATTCACACTCTCGAACACACAGCGTAATTTAGGAATTATTGCACATTCTGAAATTTATATGCGTTGTTTATGAGTTTGTTTAAATTTCGCGCACTCTGACTGTTCACGTTCCCGTTCCTGTTTCTGTTTCTGTTTCTGTTTCTGTATTTGTTCTACGTATCTGTATCTGTATCTGTAGCTCAATGCTTGTGTGCACGCGTATGTCTGCGATGTGTGTGCGATTCATGGGCGAGCTAGTAGCATCTGTGTAAATCGCCTCTAATGCTCTATTCTACACAGTTAACATGGCATGAACTGTTTTGCTTTTGTCTGGCAAAATGGCAAGCAAAATGGCCGAAATGCAGTAAATTCGTTTTGTATTGAAACAATCAGACAGGGCGACGACGTCGCGGACGAGTATGCGCAACAATTAGATAACATGGCCACTGATCCACTCCAGGACAAACAGCTTACAAGCGCGATAGCAGTTACCAAACGGAGCTAATCCCATTCAAGCTCCCCCAGAAGACATCCTGAGCTGCCCCTTCAGCGTGTGTGTTTGTTTGGCAAATATTTGCCAGGGAATGTGAGCGACAAACATAAATACGAATCAACCCGTACTCGTGCTCGTAGAGACGTCTCCCGACAAATCCTTAGCCATTTAGCGCCAGCAGTTGACCCTCCATCGATATGTCTGCTCCCAGCACACCCCGTGGGAGATGCTTCTGTGGGGGGGGGGCATCCTTTGAGCTTTGAGCCAGGCACCTCCAATGAAGCGCACTTTGGCGTGCTCTCGCCGCGATAAGCAATGGCAATGGCAATGGAAATGGCTGGCTGGCTGGCTGGCTGGCTGCTGCCGCACGGACTCCTCAGACCTGGAGCTGTCGTCGAACCGTTTGCCATTTGCGCGCTCTATCAGCAGCGCATGACATTTGACAGACATTCTGTTTATGTGTGCGGCCATTGATAGCTACGGGAGCAAAACCCCGAAAATGTCCACCGAAGCGTGGCCAGACTGAAATGGATATCGGTTTTGGGCCGGCGTTCAATGCAAAACGTTTTACTGCTCTCTGTCCTCCCTGTCCCCCAGCACTAATTGTGGTTGATATTCGTACTCGCAATAATTAAGAGCACATTCCTTTTTTTTCTCTGTACAACTCGTATGAATATTTAATCAACTTTTCTCTTCACTTTCGTTAACACTCTCTGACTTGTGTGTTTCGGTTCACCTATTTGTTTTCTTTTCTTGATTTAATAAACTCTTTTATAGCGAAATGATGTGCCAGAAGTATTTGGCGCACATGACATTTTATTTTCATAATAACTAATTAATCAAATCGATTGTAAGAAACCCAAATGACCAAGCAAAAAAAGAATCGACACAGAATTTAATGCGAATTTGATTGGAAAACTCAAACGCTGCGTAGCTGCAACAACCACAAAATAACAACAATAACAATTACAACAAATAACAACTAACAACTAAGACTACAACAACAATCTTATATAGAAGGCACTGAACAAGTACAACAACCACAACTACAACCATTCTACCCCTCTCTCTTCTTGCTAATTCCAAATTGCAGTAAGAATATTGGGCATGGACGAGAGACTGCATCAGAGAATCTTCAATGATAATTTGGCCGTAATTGATACGCCCTTGATTGCATTGGGCGGCCCGGGCTCTGGCTCTGGCACCGTCATCGGTTCCGGCTCTGGCTACGGCTCCGGCTCCGGCATCGGCACCGGCACCGGCTCTGTCTCCGGCTCCGGATCCGGGTTTGGGTTCTCGGGCGGCTATAACTATAACTATCCGGGCTCGATGCACGGCGTGCCCAGCTATCCGTTCAATATAAGCGGCTTCCATCAGCGGCACATGGCAGCGGCGGCCGTCGATAATGAGCCATTCGATATCATTGATACGGGCCTCGGCTACGGCGGAAACGGAAATTCCGGTGCTTACTATCAAAGTATGTGTACACGTAATAGCTTGAACGTAATCCATAAATAACAAAATCCACGTACTACCACCACTGCATAGGAAAAATACAAAAATACAAAAATACAAAACAAGCAGCAAAAAAGTATATGCCAAATGAAATATCCCGAAATATCCTGACATCCAGATATACTACACAAACATATACATATTTGTGTGTGCAAACTGCTAGAGCTAATTAACAGGCAAACAGAAAAATAACAGACAAAAAGAGACAAAGACCAAGTTAGTTTGTTCATTCGCTCGTTCGTTCGTTCGTTCACCATTTTAGATCGATTTTTGTGCATTTTTTATGATTTCCATTTGTGCTGTCCCCCACCCCGCCCTGTAACTAAGTGCTCCCCACTCCGCCCATCCATGTTTCAGGTAACAACATTTTTTTGGAGAGCCAAATCCAAATCCAAATCATTCCCATTTTCGTTTTTGCGTTTTAAAGGTGAATATATACCAACAGAAAAAATAGAACCACAACATGGCGTGCATAATTTTTGGCATTTGAACAAGTTTTAAATATGACAAAAAAACCAATGGAAGTACAGTTACAGCTCAAAGCAAAATAAAACAAAAGACAAATATACTTTACAGCTTATCTATAAATATATAAATATTAATACAACTCCAACTCTCCTTTGTGTTCCATCATTTTTACGTAGCTTGCAATTTGGTTTGAGAGTTTTTTGAACATTTTCCTACAAGAATATACTAAAAACCAAACAAATTTGCTTCAAATGCGTTAAAAACAATATTTTCTACTATGAATTTTGTTTGACATTTTGTTTAACTAACTGACAATTAAAAAAAAAACAACAAAAAACCAAAAAATCAATCAACTCAAAATTGTACAAAGAATTTTAACATTTGCAATACGATACATACTACCCCTCTTTCGTTTGGCGTTAATTGAGCAAAATGAAAATATTAAACAAAACCCAAACTAAAACAGAATTCATTTAATTTCTTTCCTAAACTATATATTCAAACTTAAACCAAAAAGAAAGAACAATACAAAAACCAACAAAAAACCAAAGACAAAACCAATTTTGTTACAACTCAATTCAAGCACACTTTTTTCAAATTTTTTCCAACGCACCAACAGTTTTTTGAATCCAAACCAAACAACAACAAGCCAAACCCAACGACAAAGCGTTTCATTTTTTGGGCTACAAGTCATTATATCATACCCCTTAAATGCAAAACAATATATTTGTACCATTTGTGTCATACAACAAGCTACATGGAAGCTAAACACTAGCCATCAAACTCATTGTTTCATACTAAAAAACCACCAAAGCATTCAGTTTCTTTGTACTTCAAAGACAGCGCCTAGGAAATTTCCGTTCAGACATAAACTATTCGACCTGAGGTTAAATATCAATAAAAAAAAAAAAAAAACCAGAAAGCAATAAAGAAATCCCCATATAGAGAAAAATATACGAATACAAATTGATTGTGTTAAGACATTTTTTGTTGGCTTTGCTGCTGCTACTCGTACTCGAATTTCAGTTTGGCTTATTCCGTTTTCCGTTTTTAATTATTTGCGTGGACACTTTTCCTTTCTCTTATACATACTACGTATTCATTTCATTTTTGCCGAGTCTGCAACGAGTTTGTATGTTCATTTCAAAAGAACACTCACACACACACACACACTCAGAGTTCTCGTAGAGGAAACCAATAAAGTATGCCAAAGAAACAGTCGTTCAGTCGGAATAACATTTGCATAGAATCATGAGAGCTATGGACCCCTGATGCCTACTTTCGAGAGGAACCCATACAGACACCAACTCACCCACACAAACATACAGCCACACACACACACACACACACATACACAGAAACAGGAGTTAGAACATATCGTTGCCGTTCGATCCCCCCCTTAAAACGAATCTTTTTATCAGTAGGTTTTGGTAGTTTTTAAAGTCGAACAAATAACTTAAATACCTTTATATTTAATAATAAATATACATAAATATATCTCTAGAACCTAGTTATGTTTTGCAAGCCCTGCGACCCTACGATTACGCCCCTCCCCCTCAGAGCCCCAGTAATACCCCATCAATTCCCTAATTGACTCTCACTTTCTACTCTCCGAATCTCAATCTCCTCCCCTGGATTACAGTCGGAGGCAATAAACAAATTTGTGGAATATTTGCATTTAATTTACGTTATTTATGTGCCTGTTTTTTGTTGTTTTTATTCAATAATTTTGATCATTTTTTTGTGTTGTGCTGCGAGGGGAAGAGCGAACAAAAAGTTGGTTAATTAAAATGCAATCGATAGCTGTCACCCGAGCCAACCTGGTGCTATCTGCTCGCTGGCGGCTGGCGGCTGGCGGCCATTGTGATTGATATTCTCATAGGTACTTTCGATTTGGTTATGGAAATATAAGTGGGCATTTTTGCCCCTACCTCTCAGTACTTAATTGGGTTGTGCTTAGGCCATAAGCGCTTGTAATCATAACAGTTAAACATTAAATATATTTCCATGCGTAAATTATATGTGACTGGAATAAATAAACAAGCCAATTGAGAGCGAAATTAAAACAAATAAATGAAATTAATTAAGAGCATAGAGCGACAAATGTGCACAAACAAAGGCACACATTTATTTAACATTTTAATTAGTCCCAAAGTTCTCTCTCATTTGGCGTAATCAAGGATTTTATGCATTGAATGGGAACCATCCCAGTGCCTCAACCATAACCAAACCAAATCATTTGGCCAGCTAATGCTGTTTCACCAGGTTGGCATCGGCAGAAGGGTGTGTGGATTTGGGTTACGGGTGCGGGTGCGGGTTCGGGTGTGGGTGTGGGTGTGGGTACAGCGGATAGGTCGATAAATCCGAAACCGAATATCGAATATGCTGAGAATTGTTGCGTAAATTGAAAACTAATGAACTATTTCAAACACTTTCTACACGCCTGCCCCCGCCGTGGTCACTAAACTCTTCTCTGTCAAACGACTCGCCTCTCCTGGGTAACATTTACTCGATGCAAATGAAAATGCAAATCCAAATCCCATGGCCACCGCCACTGCCATTGCCACTGCCACACTTGGGCACGTTTCGGTGCGTTGCCAATGCAGGTGGTCAGGATGTGGAAGTTGACCTCTCAACGGAAATAATCAAGCAACACTTTCAGGTGAGTACGGCAAAGAAAAGCCCAGAACGAGACACGCAGGACAATTGTGCAAAAGTGCAGCAGTACACAATTCTGAGCGCTTATTACTTTACCCTTTTCTCGTTTCTCTGTTTCAAAATTCAAATCGCAAATCGCACTCTTGAAAACAACCTTAGAGTACCTGTCACACAGCATTGGACACCTGCCGGGAAGATCCGTCCTGCTCGTCGTCCCTGCAGCCAATGCTGATGCATTGTGAACTGCATCGGTGCAATCGCAACGCTTGCATGACCTCGCTGCAGGCCTTCTACAAGGGTCCGCACGAGGACCTCAATCTGGACATTGCCTTTTGTCTATGCAAGTAAGTGGCTGGACACAGTCCAGCAATTCCCCAAATGTCCCCAAATGCCCACAAATGGCCCCAAAACCACCAGTAGCAGACCACCAACAATCGGCAATTCTCATTGTTCGTCGCAGAAAAACCAGCAGCATACAGCAGAACAGCAATCGGCACGACATGTGCATGATTGCACAGGAAAAACTGCATCCCGTGTGTGCACAGCGGCCGCCCGATAACAGTAATCCGGCCAGCTCCAATGGCATTTACTACCATCCACCGCCCGCCTGTCATGTGGTGGCCGAAAGCTGCAAGGAGGACCGCGAGTGCAGGTGCGTACACAGGCCATATTTCACAAAATTTACCGTTAAGCGGAAGCGGAAACGGAAGCGGAAATATGCGCAACGGCAATGTAAATTTTTTCGCCATGAAACGATACACAAGTACTACACGTGGTTATCGTTTTTAGCACCACGCAAAGGACAGCAAACAAGGGCATATTGAATCCATGAAGATGTTTGCAATAGGCAGGGGAAATCTGGTTCCATTATGAGAGGGTTACTAGAGTCACAGGAGTGCAGACTCTGTGTCGCACGTTCTCGGTTTCAATTCAATTAAGCGAAATTGCATTTAATAGACTTAGTCACACGCTCGCATTCATATTGAATTAGAAGCGTTTAGCTTTAGCCACGGCAAAGTCAGCGCATGCCACAACTTTGATGGCACTTTGATAAACTCGTTAAATTGACAACGACAACATGGGAGCGAGGGGTATGGCCAGTGGAGGAGCTCTGGCTGGATTTTCGCTCAAATTTAGCAGTTGCAAGCAAGCGGGGCATAAAATTACCAGTTGGCTGTTGCCATCCATCCAGACACTCCGCTCGCCAGACCGCCTCTTCATTAAACCAGGCTGCCATTTAAACAGGCCAAGTTGCAGGCTGCGGCAAGGAGTTGACAGCCAAACTTGGGACCTCCAGCTAGGCTGGAGCCAGACCGCGCGAATGTGTCAAACACAAAGTTAAGTTATAAATAGGATGCAACACCCACATGCAGCAACCATCTCCAGAGAGAGCGAACAGGGAGAGTAATGTGTGTGTGTGTGTGTGTGTGTGTTGGCAGCTCTGGGGGCACGTTGGGTGTTTGTTTGTTGTCATGTTACGGCTGAACGACCGCAAAGTACGTGGTCGTAGCTGCGGCTCTGGAAATTAATTGCCTTTTAAGTGAATCGCACTTGCTTTGGCAAACAACTAAATTGGACTAATGACGCTCATTTTGTATGCTGCAGAAGAGAAACAGACTGGGTGGAGAAGGAGGAGGTTGCGAAGGAGGTGTCTGCCACATGTTTGAGAACTTCTATGCAACGTGTTCCGTGCCACATTCTCCCCCCACACGCTCTCTCTCTCTCTCTCTCTCTCTCTCTCCCTCTCTTTGTCGAGTGCTTATGTTGACTTATTACGTATACGACGGCTTGTGCACCAACACGTGCCTGTCCCTGCGCCTGCCGCGACGAAACCAGGCGACGGGGGCTGAATGGCCATTTGTTTGGCTGCCGTTTCACTGAAGCTGTTTCAATGTCTTAAACTGCACTTGGCCGGCTGCGTGTTGCAACTTTGCGTTGCACGGGCATAGAAACAGCCGACGATTGCGTCAGCGCTTGATTGAGCCGACTCGGAGAAATATTCATCTTCTGGCAAAGTTGGCAAAGTTTCAGCGCAGCTAATGGGGGGGGGGGAAGTTGCAAAGATTGTAGAAAAAAGGTGGAGCTCAGAAAGCGTAATTAAGGCAGCATCGCCACAGAAAAGTCTTCCAGGCAATTATGAGCATTTTCGCATGGAAATATTTCTACCTTTTTATACCCACTGGAGAAGGATGCCCCTGAAGACTTAAACTGCTGTGTAGAACTGATGCATTGAAAGCTAATTAAGCTGCAACCAGTTTGATTGGAATGCCAAGGACTCAGCCATGGGCCAGCATAATCGGCAAGTGAAATATTACGCATACGCCGCATCGCACTTGACAAGAATCTCACCCAGATTCCTGAGACTTGGGGCCTCGTAAATTTTGTAGCGGAATAAGCATTTGCCCAAGACTATGAAATGCAGTAGAATGCCGAGAGTAATTTCAGAATAAATTGGACGACATCAATCTCAGGCTCTGGGTGCTGAGAGAATGTGCCCCCGACGACTGCAGTGCAGGTAACGGTAACTGGCACTCATTCACAGACATCACTTATAGCTAGAGCAGGGTCGGAGCTTGTGGCCAGCTGCAACTGGCTCTAACTAGCGCATGACAAAACCTGAAGACATGAACAGAGACATTTCCTGCATGGGGATGGCCAGCTTGGAGCAGGCCATCTTACTTGGGTTTTATGACTCGTATCTGAACTTCGGTTCTCTATCTCTCTCTCTCTTCTCTTCTCGTATCTCTGCTTGTGGCAGGCTCAAGCTGGAGTACTACGAACAGGCCTGCGCCGTGGACAGCGTCACTAAGAAGTGTGCCGGCAGACCCAGCGGCTGTCGAACGGCAATGATTGGCATCTTGGGCACCATGCTACGCACCACCTGTGCCTGCCAGGGCACAGATCCCCAGCATCTGTACCAGTGCGTGGGCTGGCGGCGTCTATTGTGGATGAATCCCTGTGTGGGTAAGTGATCCTACAGTGGGCACTCCTCGATTCTTTTAATATATAGTTTCTTTAAGACACTTTCATCACAGTGAAAGTTAACTTTACATCAAATAAAGCTGCCTATATATAATGTCCCTTTGTGACAGCTTACTGTATCGATTTCCTGTTTCCTCATTAACCGGCGATTTACCTCCTTTGACAGTTGAGGCTCAAAAGGATTTCCATATGAAGCGATTGGCTGAGCTGGGTTTCCTTACCACCACCACAACAACGACGACGACCACGACAACAACAACAACGACAACAACCCGGCCTCCGCCACCCCCACCGCCACCACCGACCAGCACAACAACCACAACGACGACGACGAGCCTGCAACCGAAGCAAACGGCCCGAAAGCCGGCCACGCACATCTTCAAGGACTTCAATGCGGTAAGTAGGGTCCAAGTCCACGTGCAGGCGGGTCATGTTTGAATCCTAATTGCCCCACTGCGGTCAACTAGTGGCCGCCCATTCAGCGTTACCCGATTTTAACAAGCATCAACAACAGTTACCTGTCCAATACCCCCTCCCTCTCTCTCTCTTCCTCTCCGGGCATTCCCTTGTCTGCGACTATCAATCCATATAGTTTGTCGGTCCGTTTTCTGTTTTCCAATCAGCACTCAATCAGTGGCTCCACAGGGGTGGCGGCGGCGGGTACACACAATATGCCACAACATACCAGCCAGACCAAAGTCCAAAGTTCTGCTTCGCTTCGGCTATAGACGCAGAGCCAGAGCCGGGGTCTGCTTTTGGCCCAGTTCCTCCGGTTGCCAAACCGACAAAGCAATCAATTCCTGACCTGCAGCTGCACCAGAAGCAGATGCAGCAGCAGCAGCAAAAAGATTAAGCCCCATACACAAAAATATTCGCATTCAAACTCTTTAACATCTTTTCGCCCTTCCCTTTCATGTGGCAACAACAACAACAACAACAACAACAACATCTGCAACTGCAACAACAATAACTGCGAACAATTGCAACAATGAACCGCAACGAAAACCACAAAAAATGCAAATAAATAAATAAAAAAATGCACTGCACAACAAAATTGAAAAACCACGAAACGCAAAACCAAACCAACAAAAAAAAAACAACAACTACAACAAAACTGTGGGGAGGAACTCGCGGACGGACATGGAAACAGCAGCCAAAAGAGAAATCAGAGCCAGCATCGGTGGAACACAATTATCTCGATCCGCCCGATTCGATACCGTTGCCCAGCGTAAACGTCGAGAGCGGCGGAAATGGCGGAAATGACGATTATCACAGCGGCAATGCAAATGGACACGGAAATGGCAATGGCAATGGCCACGGCATCGGCAACGGCAACGGTAGCAATGGCAATGGCAATGGAAGTCGACGTAAAAATGGCGGAAAGGGACGTGGCAGTGTAGATTTCGATGATCCAGTAATTTTCGTTGACCCAAGGGAAACAACAGAGTTTGTGGGCATCAGCATCACAGAGCCGGTGACCACAACCACAACAATGGCCACCACAACAACAACGCAGCCGCCAAGTAAGTAAATGCAAGTGGGTTATAAATTGGAGCTGTGTGTGACAGAGTCACTGGAGACAGAGTCCAGTTGGGTTCCGGGAAACATTACTCTTCCCTGATGGCGTACAAACGTGTGCGACTCTCTCTAGCTACCTCTCTGATGCCTAATTTAAAGTTTTGACCAGCTTCATGCCAATTAGGAGGCGCTCCCACTCCACACACACTCGCATGTACCTTTGATATTGAGGGTTTTCCCAGCAGTCGGGATTCGTTGTTTCCGTTTGGAAGTTTTCCGCATAATTGATGAGGTCACTGCGGTTGTTTGGCTAATTGAAGGCATAACTCAGCGCCGACCATCATTATTATTTTAATATTTTGTGCAGAAATCATTTAAAATTCAGTATACTATATTGGTTAGACCCTTCCCATATCCCCATTTACATATATTTGTATTTATATTTGTATTTGTGTTTGGGTTTGTGTGTTTGTGTCTGTGGCCGGAAATGAGTTTGCTTTCGGATGATGTGGCAATTATGTATGTGCGGATGGCGTTCTCTCTAGTGAAAAGTTGCGGCCGTATGTGTCTTGCGATCCCCTAGTACATTCCAAATCCGATTATGTAAGCATATTGTGTGCCAAACGCACACTCAGGCAATGAGGAGGGAGGATAGCCATCAAAACATATCACTCGACTGCATTGTGATAATACTTCCGTTCGTTGAAACCTCCGCCAGAGGACATCGTTTATTGTCCATTCATTTATCAGACAAACTCCAACAGAGAACCATTGAGAGCACAGCGACAGAGAGCGGGCGAGGGCAAGGGCAAAACGTGTTTGCAAACATCATTAAAAATGTAAATGAGTTGAGTTGTTTGTTTGCCATTCAGTCCATCAGTCCATCAGTCCATCCAACGGTGTGTTGCGGCCCTCAGACCGCAAGCTCCAAAACGTGTGACAGACCCTCAGCTCAGTCGGGATGTCAGTCAGGCAGTCAGTCAGTCAGTCAGTCAGTCAGTCAGTGAGCTAGTCAGTCTGTGTGGTCAACTCGTCTGCTGTAATTATTTAGACACTTGGGACGGATGGCCATGCATTTTGCATGAAATGTTGCTGTGCCCCGGTGGCAGATAGAACCTGTTTGTGTCTCATCCATAATTGATTTTGTTGGCAAGTGAGGCGGAAATTTTAAAACTATATTTTAACTATTGCATAGCTCTATTATTTATGCATATTTGGCAGCGGCTTTATTGGTAAAGTTTTTGCCAAAATGGATTTGATTAGTGAAAGCCCAGGGTGGCAGTTAGACGGCATTACCACTTTCTGAATTTATGATTGCCCGCCCGGGCCGGCCCATTGCGTGTAATTAAGTGGAAGGGTCTGCTCCTTCAACTCAAGTCTCGAATGTGAAAATGTGTGCCACATAAACACACATTTTCACCCTCTCCGGCCATAAACTTCAGCCTGGAAAAACTCGTAATGGCGCTGATGACATGATGAATACTCCACATGAGTGGCGGACATCCGTTATTTGAGAATAAGTGGCAGGGTCGCATTGTGTACGTTGCCTGCCACCAAAAAAATAATACTACAAACAAAAATAAGCAACTCGAACGTGGGTGTGTGGGTGTTTGCTTGGAGTTATTTGTGTCCATGGCCCACACAGACAAGACCACACTTCAGGCTTAGTTGGAACTGAAAATTGCATTTAATTGAATGTTAAATGTAGCAAACTAGTGAGAATTGAGTTATATTTAAAGTTTGATGAATTGCTTTAATAGACATTAAATAATGCATACCATGCTGAATCGCATTTCATTTGGATGAGTGCCAAATAGCGATGGAAAGAGGCAGCCAGATCAATTTTGTATATGGCATACGCTTAAACATTTCTAAATTTATATCAATTTCCAACACATACATTTAATATTATTTTTAATTATTTTTCCCGTTTAGGAAACTGCGTGGTTCAGCGTCCCTACCAGTCGGATCAGCTTATTCGAGAAGGCAGCAGCAAGCGGGTGAGTTGGGACCTATCCTATTTCATAGACTGTCCAACCGAAACTAATTGGGCCCAACATACCACACATCACAAAAATAATTTACGAATTTCAAATGAAAATCGAGATTAATTAGCGGCAATGAAAGTCTGTTTGTTTTGAATGAATTTAAATTTAATTTTGCATATCGTTTTGTGCCATTTGTTGGGGCTTTTTGTGTTGGAGTTGAGAAAGTGCTTTTCGGCGCATTTACACAACAAAAGTTAAGCCCAACGGCAAACAGCAACGAAACGTGAAAAGCCAAACGGAATGGCAACGTAAAGTGGGAAAAAGTGTGGAAAAGCTGCATCTACTCGTATGTGGGAAAGCATATCCCTGTCAGCACGTGGTAGAGAAGTAAAATAAATGCAAGTAGAATGCGAAGAGGAAATGCTAATAAGAAATTAATTTCACTTTCGACTATGCGAGGGGTGTTGAATTATTATTACATCTGACGTGCGCGTATTATTAGCCTTTGTTCAACGTTTCTTTTCTTGTTTTCCTGGGGGGATTTACTCTTTGCAGATCTACTCTTTGGATGATGCCGAGTGCAGCGAACTGTGCAGCTGCGGGGAGTCCCTCACTCTGACCTGCCACGCCCTCTGCGTGCCATTCGCACCCTGCCGCACCGCCCTGGCGTTCTACAGCCACGCCTCGCCCGCCTACCAAGCGTTCCGCGGTCGCTGCCTCTGCTACTCGGGTCGCTTCATCTGCATGAAGCCGCCACTCGGGGAGTACATCCTGCCAGGTGAGTCGAGACTTTGGCTGCTTCACTGCCACATTATACGTGGAGCGTGTCGGGGGTCCGCCACGGGCTGAGCACTTAGCGATTATCGCCTGCGACAGGCGATGACGATGCAGGGCTGTCAAGAATGCAGCATTTTTGTGGCTGCGCCAGAGCAGAGCAGAGCAGAGCATGGAGCACTCCTCCCACTCTCGCGTCTCTATTCTAGTTGCGAACCCTTTGTCGGGGCATCGTCTTCACTCTGTAGAGCACTTCAGACCGCATTTGACACAAAAATCCATTGTGGTGGCGCAGGGTGCAAGGTTGCGTGGCTCCTGTCCGTGCTTGCCACACGCCACTTGCGTGCCATGGCCGCCAGTAAATTACGTTTGCTGCAATTGATGTTGCATTCCCCCACCACTATTTATTTGTTGCTTCTTTTTCTTTACCAGGTGGCGTCTTTCTGCTGCTGGGCTACAGTGCCGCAGATGAGGCACTGCTCCGGCCACACACCAATCTGGGGGTGCAGGATGCCGTGCGTGCCCTGCAGCAGTACGTAACTACATACATCGATAATCAGGTAAGCCGCAAGCGAAAGAACACTGACCAGGAAATGTGTTAATTGCATTCCGTTGAATGCTTTTCACTCTCACCACTTTCCACTTTCACCTACTGCAGACCCAGTGCACGCTGACACTCTTCAATATGACGGAGGAGAACATCATCATTGCTGCACGCCTGCCCCACGATGGCAAACTCAAAGATATTGAGCTGCTGCGAAAAGAGAAGGTGAGCATGCCGCAGGCCACACACACTTCCAGCCAACAAATAATCTATTTCGTTTTGCCCTAATAATCCATTTGCCCAATAACCCAACATGTATGGCTTATCTGTGTGCTTGCAGGACGAGTGCACCGCGATTCTGAAGACCATCAGTCATCAAATCAATACCGAGCACAATGAGCTGCAATCCCACCGACTGCTGAGCATTTTCAAAATGTCCGAAGTCGAGGTCATTTGGCCGGAGAGCACGAGTGCTGCCCAGAGTGGGCATGGGCAGGCGACTGGCTGCCACCGGCTGCTCCACCTGGCCCTGCTCTCGCTGGCCTATCTCTCCACCACCACGCTGCGTATGAGCGATGCGAGCAGACAGGGCCGCGTAGCGACATGACAGCCGCACAGCTAAGGGCTCAGACAATTGCCCGGCACAATTGGATAACTGTACGTAGTAGATATCTGTAAGGGCGGACGGTGTTAAAGTGGTACTATAGGAGCGATATGCGGATCGTGTTAATGTTAGCTATAACTAAATGATATTGCGTGTGATGGTGTAGGAATCGAATCGAATCGCATATAGCATATGGCATATGGCATATGGCATATGGCGTAGCATACGATATGAATATGAATATATGGTGTATACATTTTAGGGGCTAGTTCTGTGTTTAGCTGCGATTTTTGTAAAGCTTTGTTGTTGAACCCTGACGCTGTTGCTGTCTGTTTTGATACGTACATATGTGAAGCATTACGATAAAGTATAGTACATAAATATATATGCGTATACAACATACAACTCAATTAGATTTATCTGTACTTTAAAGTGAAAAGTAAAACTGCTGTCTACATAATAATATTCTTAGCAACTAACAACACAGACACTCGATAGTTGGATTTGCTGTGGCCTGTACATAGGAATGGGTTTAAATATATGGTACTACCCGTTAGCTAGTGTTTTATACGGAGAAACAATACCCAATCATACATACACTCTGTCAGTCATTCATCATTATTATACCTGCTGCAGGCAATTTGCTTGGGTTGTTGCTGTTTAAGCTCTATAAAGTTCTTGGCTGCCTCCATTAAAAAGAATTATTAACCGCCTTAACATTGTTTATTTCTGATGCATATTCCTTCACTCTTTTGATTTTTAATTACATTTTAATGTGTTTGCGAGCGGTCCAGCGCCGGTCCACATGGCATGTCCTGTCACGGCCTCTGCTCTGTAGGCCTCAGCCACAGACAACAGACAGCAGAAACGGCCAAACGAATGAACTCATTTAACACTCTCAAGCGAAATATTATTGTTAATTTATTTCACAGTTTACCGTTCCGTTTGGAGGCGCGAAAACAATTACGGTTTCATTATCCATTATGCGTTCTGCATTTCAATTGTTGCCCCACACACTTCTCACAGAGCCGTAGGGGAGATCTCCGGCCAGCAGCCATATTCTCGCCTCGCTTCAACAGGTTTCATTGCTATCCCAGTCTCCCGATTAGCATTTCCGTTTGCTGTATATACAACCGACAATTTAAAACTCAATTAACGTAATTAAATACTAACAGTACATATCAATATGAACACCTAAACAAAGTTTACACACAAACCAAGTACTTACAAATGCCCCTGCTCGAGTCTTTTGTACATAGTTCTTTATAACAATATACAACGATATATGAATACATATGAATACGTATACAACAATTATGGTATGAAAGCAGCAGCTAAATTGAACTGTATATTGATTGAAACTTCAGTTGAGCCTTATATAAAATATGTAAAGAATAAAACTATTGTAAATAGTGTGGGGGGAAAGGGTAGTATCAGGAGAAAACCAACATATGGGTGAATGAAAATTCTATGAATATTAATTGAGTGTTTGACACACAGAAACACACTCACACTCACACTCACACTCACACTATCACAAACACAACCAACACTCTAAGCCTAGGCTTGACCATTTGACAAAAGAGAAGAGCAGTAACTTTTTGTCACACACTTTGTGGCGGAAAAGTGTGAAAAATGTGCGCATAACGAAAATGGTCACAATCATGAAAAAATGTCTTCCTTAATGCATATACACGGCGATATGTATTATGTTTATATACATAAATGAATATATACCTATAAAATATACAATATCTGGCAATACCCTAGCCTACGCTTCAGTTAGACAATTGATAATGTAATATATAGAACAGAACAGAACAGAACAAAACAAAACATATGTGTATGTACCAAGGGGCTAAACCATATCATTATCGAATATCCTTGCAAATTATACCACTGTTGACACAAACTATAAACTAATCCCAGCATATCTAAGCAAAACTATACCCTTAACTAAATATACATATTAATAATAATAAAACAAAACAAAATATACACACACAGTACGAGTAAAGTTATAAACGTTAGAGAGCATTGGCAACTACTTTAATAGTCTCTAGAGAAAGCAACGCTTTAACCTTAAAATAGAGAAATACAAAATAAAACTAGCAAACAAGTGTGTGTGTAAAGTCTATTGAGAACCTGCTTAAGATATATGATAGCTAAATATTAGACGAATTTAAATCTATTCAATCCCATAAACAGCCGCTGTCAAAGGCGTGACAAGGAAAGAGGGGAAACTGTATCTTTATGGAAACTATGGGAATGAGTGGAGTTGTTCATTTGCTGTGCAATTGCATATCGTTTTAATGGCTACTACGAGATTATCGTTATCAGTTGGGGGGGGTAGGTATATCGAAGTCCACTCGAGTGTTTTGTTTCAACCCCTCACTCGGAGTGCGGCACAAGACAAAGCGTAGCTACAATGTAAAGTACCGTTGAAGAAAATAAATAACAATAGAAGTGAAGAAAACGAAAGCGAAAACGAAAGAAAATTACAAAATAAACGCATTAATGTAAAAAGCAAAAGAATAAAACATAAACTAGCACTCAAATACGAATCCATAGCATGGATGCATAAAAAGTAGCATAAACTTAAAGCGGAGCAGAGAACAGAACTCTGTTTCCATTATGCATGAGGAATACGATGAACAGAAACTTGAGTTGAAACCTAAACAACAGTAAATAGGATCTACATATACGATATGTAAGGAATACATTTGTGGGCTATGTATATGTATACAACCAACTGAAGTACATGGATAAAGTTAATTGATACATATAAATTATAAACTATGAATTAAAGCTAAACCGAAATGAGAAACCAAGCGATATTTGTAATAAAACATTGTAAGTGACAACGGCAAGAACAACAAAATATAGAAAGTAAAATTAAACAACTATCACAGTTTTTCCACTGAGTTCTCGGGGTTGGGATTGTGGATTTTAAAGCTAATGAAAATTGTGTTTCTGGTAAGTAAAATAGTTTACTTTTTCTGAGCTACGTGCCGCTTTCGATGTGCACTTCATTATTGACCCCCAAAGGCCCCACAGCGATCGGCAACTAAGTATGTGACACTATTGAGACGAACAAAGCAATGAATACAATGGAAAATATACGTACAAGGCAGAATATGCAACAAAGACAGCTGGAAGAGAAGACCGACCTGCTTCAGGAGCAAACATATCCATAAACAAGGCTACAGCAAAGCGTGGCAGCAAGGCAGCACCGGTTTGGGTACCTAAGCTTTGCATACCCTTCCAGATTCATTATTTTATTAATTCAATTTGGATACAAACTGTCCGTTTATTAATTGATGCTTATCAATGAGTTCGACGGAAATATTTGGTATACTTATTGATAACATCATTTGGGTAAACCTATAATACTCTGTGGTAGAGTATACCAAGAAGAGAATAAAGAGAATGGAAAATGGAAAATGGAAAAAGAAAAAGCCACACAATGCTTTTGTACTTTTGCAAGGAACAAAAGATGAGCAGAAGACAAAGACACTTGCTCAAGGCAACGGCGCGCCGTTTCATGGCTTAAACTCAAGTTTCCCCAGGAACCACTCCACTGTGCACTGTGCCGCACTCGACGACACAAACACACCCATCGAGTGAGAGCTGGAGAGCAACAAAGAGTAAGGTCAATCATTGGAATTTTGCCAGTTAATTCGCATACAAAAGGCGCTGGCCCAGAAGAGAATGAAAATAGCACGATGAGTTGGCGATGAGTTCCTGCTCTGCCGCTGAGCCTGTGACCTGCCACGCCCATAATGGCATACCGGGTGGCTGAGTTCGGCGTTTATACTTCCACTTAATTAGGTAATAAATGATTGAAGAAATTATGTCTAGACGTGAGGACAATTTCGATGTCTTGGCCTGGGGGTGCCACATACTTTGACTGGGAGCCAATTCATTTCTGGCACGTGAGGGGTTCAAATGTTACGAATTTCCACACAATCACACAACGAGAGAATGTGAGAGTGGAGCACGCACACACACACACACGAAAAAGGAGAGAGTGGGAAACAATTATTTATGCAAGAGTGTGAGTTTCGGATGAGCGCCTATACATGTGGATGTACGTACATTCATACAGAAATTCGCAAGGTTTTTGGTTTGATTTGAAATGAAAGCAAAACTGTAAACAATTGTTTGCGCTCTTCTTTTTTTTTTATATTCAATTTGTTCCACCTGCCGCAGCTAAGTGGCATGGATTACAGACAATATCCACACACATGTGTACATATATCAGCTACACATATTGTTTGCATGTATTTGTTCGCATCTAATATCATTCACATGTGCAGAACGATGCCTGAATAGCAAAACTGAAAATGAATCGTAATGAATGCGGGGAGCCACTGAGTGAGTGTATGCGGGCTTGCCAGTTCATTAATATGGGACAAATGCTGAAGGTCGATGATGTGGGGCCGGCCTATTTACAGATACAGACAGAAGGATGGCCGCACTAGAGATGGGAATGGAGCGTGTTCTGCTCGGCTCTACTGTACTGCTTCCACACGATGGGTATTTAGTATATACAATTATTTATATTAAATATTTCGTACATGGATACCTTGTTCCGTGAGCAATTGTGAATGTGAAAATTTGTTCTCCCATCTCTAATTCTTTCAAAGGCTGGCTGATGCTCTCGTATCTAGTGTTCCGGAAAGTGCGTGGCTGCTGTTGCTGTTGTTGCACGCACATTTATCAGGCTGCGATGATTACGTGTTTGCCATTTTATGGCTGAAACTGTTGCGCCTACAACTCTCCATCCATCCATCCATCCCACTCCCACCCCCTTTGAGCTTTGAGCTGCTGGGGTGAGTGGGTCTCTGTCTCTGTCTCTGTCTTTTTGTCTGTTTGTGTTGTTGGCTTTGTTCTACTTGGAATTGCCTTTTATTTTGCGCTAATTGAAGTTGCTGCCATCATATTTTTTTTCTTCCTTCCACCTCCCTCCATCTACCACGAGCACAGCCAACCCCACATATCATCGTATAGAGGAAACCGTGTTGTTTGCTTTTATTGCCGCTTCTATGTTATTCCTGTTTTTGCAATTTTAATTAAAAACGTGTTTATAGCAGCGCAAAATGCTGATGAGTGAGCTGAATAATTTATTTCGAACATAAATAAAACCATACATATATGTACATACATAAATGTATGTATCTATGTATGTACAATGTATGAAGAACTAAAGTAATGTGAAAAGGCAAGTGTGCTGACTATCAGTTGATTTGAGTGGAGGTAATTAATGGCCAGGAGAAAGTATTTCAATCTGCTAAGCTAACATTTCACTTACAGAATATTTCGGTATTTATGTACATATATGAATAAATGTTTACTTTATTAATTGCTGCTTCGACAAGCATAAAAAACGCAGTTAAAGTTGAGCTGAAATTCCTGTGGACATTGCCTGCAAAGATGCAACATTTTGCGCTGCAATTTATTGCAAATACTCGTACACACCCATAGCTGAAACGAGTCCCTACTTGGCTGGTGCATTTACACATTACGAATTCCTTTGCATAACGCTGTGGGGAATGTATATTGCCAGCCAGTCAGGCTGAGTGCCGGATTCCGGAGAAAGAAGCCATAGCCACAGAGAAATATGCGCCACAGCATCCTCAGCAGGAGGCGCCGCAGCAGCAGCACACAAAGAATTCAATTGAATTGATATTCAAATGCGCACTGCCAACACACACACACACACACAAAGAGAGGGAGCTGGAGAGGCATCCATTATTTGTCGATTTTACACATGGCACATAGGAAAATGTAGAAATGTAAAAGAAGGAAGAAGTCATCTATGCATAAAGTATAGGTACGTTCTATAGGTATTCGAGGCAAGTGCAAAATCCCGATTCCAGTTTTCATTAGACCGGCACGATGGCCAATGATCAGTGAACAGTGTTTTGATGGCTTGCAGTCGCAATCTATTTTTACGCCATTTGCCAAAAAGGCCAGGCCAGGCCAGGCCAGGCCCAACCACCTTTGGCTCGGCAAAACATGGCCAGGACACGCGGGAGCTGCATTTGCATAACTCGCTGCTCCCCAGGGCAGCAGGAATTCAAGAGAATATCGAAGACAGATAGACGGCTCAGGCTCCGGCTCCGGCTCCGGCATAGTCTCAGCGTTCAATGCGCTCCAGACAAGCAGCCAAGTGCAGAAATAACACAAAATATATGGCAATGCAAAAGGCAAAAGAGAACTAAAAAATACAAAAAAATTTATATATGTGTAAGTACATATACTATGGGGAGAGGAAAAAACTGCTAAGGAGCCAAATACTCGAGCATTTGCAAACGCGGCAAAGTAGCGAAAATTTGCAAATTGATTGCATTCCTGTGCCGAGGCTGCAGAGAGAGTAGGAGGAGAAGCTCAAATATGAAATCTCGAGGAGTGCAAATTTTGCACATTTTTTCTGGCAACTTTGGGAATGTTTCTTCCAATTGCCAAAACAAAAGTCAAAGACCCCCCCCCCCCCCCACACACACACACACACAAACATGCATATTCAAAGTGCAAGATTATTACATTCCTCAACCCACTTCGGAGGTCCTACAGCTGCAGCTCCAACGCTCAGTTCAGCGAAAATCAAATTATGCAAATCTCAAGTTTAATTAGGAAAAGCACAGCTCAACTTTAAATCAATTTTCTGCTTAGTCTGGCGCTGTATTCTACTCGGTTCTCTGCTTTTTATTTTATTTGCGCGCTTCATTTGAGCAAACCCATGAAATATTCAGACACTGTGACACACTTTGGGTTGTCTGATCTGTAGCGAGTGTCGAGTGGGTGTGGTTGTAGGGGTGGTTCTGTGCGGACTTGTTTGAGGGGCAGACAAAACCGAAAAACGGTACAAGGCAAATTCTGTTGGCCAACAAAATGACACTTAGTGCAAAACAGGAGGACACATGCCTAATAAATAATTCAGTGCGCAACAAGCGGAGAACAAGCGCACTTGTGGCACCACCCCCACACCTGCCACCACCATTTTCCCTGACCATCTCTGACAGCTGCTCTCGGATTGTGCCCCACGCATCCATATTCACACAAGATGGAAATCTAGTCAAATGTGTCCGCTCAAGTGTTGCGTGTTATTCAATGTCCTCCGAATCGCACTCCCTCCTGTCCTCTGCCCACTGATGACCGGCTCCAAGGTCCAAGGAGACATATGCGGGTCATTTGCCGTGCGAAGGCATCATATTTGGGAGACTTTCGTTGCCAGAGATGTGTATCTCTTTGCAGCATTTGGCTGCCAGGCTCTGCTGTACAAAAGAAACGAAACAATTCAATAACGTAACACGAAAATCTAACACTGAGACACGGAAATGCTTTTAGTCTGGCCGAAAATTCGTCAAAATATAAACCGGGCACCGATGAAAAATCCTCCAAGCTCCTGCCACCCCCCCTGAGGGTTGTATTTGCGAGTGTGAGTGTCTTCAAGTTGATTTGTTTCTTGGAATCTGCTCAGTATTTCTATGCTAATGAAGTCGGGAACTTTCTGGCACATACTCGTACGTACATTGGTATGAATTATGATTTATCAGCACCTCAGCTTTATTGATATTACAAACCCGGACAGTTACAAGAAAATAATTTTGTCAGAGCCTCAAGTCAAGGTCGTAAAAGTGAAAGATGAGGCAACGAAAAAATCATTTAGCATAATGATTAAAATAAATCATAATGTATGGAAAGAGAGAGCCAGGGGAGGAGACATAAAGATGGGAGAAACTAAGCGAACATATGCAAGTGCAGACATTACGTGTACGCCACGTAGCTGGCCACGTCCAGGCTCAGGACACACACTCGCTCACAGTCACAGCCAGATCCAGATCCAGATCCAGATCCAGCAGGCAGCAAACAAGCTAAATGCAAACAGACAAAC